GAGAGAGAGAGAGAGTTGTGTAGGTGAGTGGGGAGGGAGGGAGGGTGAGAGAGAGAGAGTTGTGTAGGTGAGTGGGAAGGGAGGGAGGGGGGGAGGGTGAGAGAGAGAGTTGTGAAGGTGAGTTGGGAGGGAGGGAAGAGAGAGAGAGTGAGTGAGTGAGTGAGAGAGAGAGAGAGAGAGAGAGAGAGAGAGAGAGAGAGAGATGTTGAGGTGATAAAGGGGGGGGGGAGGAGGGGGAGTGGAAGGGAGAAATATTGAGGTGAGTTTCTATTTTCTAAACTGAAACTGTAAGCTTGTTGGATGTATATTCCTGCCAATGTTTCACATTGTGCTACTTATTCGTGAGAATGTGTTGTGCATATTTATGGTGCATCGTGGGGAAATCAGGCGCTCATTAAGAAAAATGAAATCAATTAGGCTGACAGCCGACTTTTTTGGCAAGAGGTGAGAGGGGAGGGGGGGAGAGAGAGAGGGGAGAGAGAGAGAGAGAGAGCGAGAGATTTTGGCAATTTTTATTGGGTTTTCTGTGGGCTCAGAACTTACTATGTCCAATTAAAGACGCATTTCTGTGAGTATTTTACTGAAAAACATTGACCAAAGGCTCAAATTGTAAATTTTCAGTTTCCAAGGACACTGAAGCTGTGGAAGGTACCCAACATTGAGGCCATTTTGTCAGTTATTTTACGAAAAGAAAATCGTCAAACTTCAACTGAACTGAGCGGGGGTGGTGTTTCAGAATGTTAAAAATTTTATTTTTTTTTTTATTCCTTTGCCCATTTCTATGATATTGACGCCATCTGATTAGTAGAAAAATGTGCGTATGATAGTGCCCAATAGTGTATTATATACTTAATTGTTGTAACATATAACTGTTACATATAGATGTTCAAGATGATTACAGATGTTTGTGAAGGATTTTAAAGCAATGATGATTTTAGAAATGACGGTGGTGGTGGTGATAAGTGATGATGTGGGATGGTGCTTATGTAAATAATTATTCAGAAGAAATGCTTCTGTTAGTTGAGGTTTTTTAAAATGTTAGAGTTGGTCCTATCTTCCTCTGCTCCGACGTGTGTGTTTCAGAATCTGAGCGAGCTATTGGACGAGCTGATCACCATGGAGATGATGGTCTACGACTGTGGGGTGGACGGCTCGCTCACGTTTGCTCGGCTCAAGGAAATGGCCGACTATGACAGGCTGGAGCTCTTCATGTCACAGGTACCGTGTGTGTGTGTGTGTGGGTGGCTGGAGGCTGCTCTGCTGGGATCGGCTCTTTCTTTCTTATCAAACATCGATCATCCTTATCTTTCCTCGCTGCTCTGGTGTGGTCTGCTACTTCTTTCTTATCAAACGTCTATCATCCTTATCTTTCCTCCTTCTTTCTTATCAAACATCTATCATCCTTTTCTCTCCTTCTTTCTTATCAAACATCTATCGTCTTTATCTTTCCTCCTTCTTTCCTATCAAACTTCTATCATCCTTATCTCTCCTTCTTTCTTATCAAACATCTATCGTCCTTATCTCTCCTCTTTCTTCTCTTTGTATGTTACTCTCAAGTGATACCTCTAATCTTTGTCACTTTTCTGACCTGTTTGTGTTGAAAATGGCGTGAAACTCTGACTGAAACTAAGACATTTACCAAATGTGCTGGCATGTAACAGACTTGCCAACCTGTACACAATTGCGTATTCTGGTGCGCAAAACTGTTAGCAGTACGCAAATACATGTCAAAACGATCAAATATGAATCTTTTGATTTTCCGGTAAGCGAGATCGCAATTTCTCGAAACCCGCTGTCGAGCCCCACTCGGATCTTAAAACTTGTCCCCGGTCTCTCTGCCTCTCCTTGTGGAAGGCCTGGAATTTGTCAGTGTTGCCCGATTCCACGTAATTCGAGTACTCATCGTGAGCTGAGAAAACTCGAGCAGTTTGCCGATACCTCTTGTTTTTCTCAAGCGAGTATCGGAATCGGAAATGAATTAGCGTTCGTTGATTGAATTTTATTTGTGTTCAGAACTTTTTTGGGGGTTTTTTTTACCGGCTGAAATCCCAGTGAGTTCCAAAATAAGCATTTCATTGTCAAAATGCTCAAAATCATGATTCCCTAGCCTGAAAAAAAAGCAAAGTGAATTTGGGGGGTTGGTAAGTTTGCTGTGATACGACCTCCCGTAGTAGTAAAGTGAAACACCTAAGCCTGGTTTTTGATAATGATCT